TGTATTAAAACAAAAAAATAAAATGGTTTCCACAAACTAACTTATAAACAAGCTAGGTCGTTTCGACCTTTACACTACATTTTTAAAGGAATGTCTATAAAGAAATTTAGATATAAACCCCTGGTGGCTGGAGTCGTAAACTGTTTTGGTAAATGGGAGGGAAGAAAAGGAGCGAAGGGTGCGTGGAGCGTGGTATTAAACGATACCCACCAGATATACCGTCTACCGCCCTTAAACATTACACATTTTATATAAAGACTAAGGAAACAAATACCCAAGTAATAGCCTTTCAAGGAAATTAATTTATACCTCTATTGGAGGTAATTTTTACATGTTTTCGTAGGTAAATTATTTCTCGAATGGATGAACTAGAAGTGCACTTAGTATTATGATTTTGAATATATTTTCTTTGAAAAATTTTGAATCCAAGGAAAATCTTCCTCAATCAAGATTAGTTTTTGGTGAACAATATTACATCTTCAGATCATCGATCTCTCTTCAGATATATCTGAGCGGTTATAAAACTCGCTTGGAAATCACGTTTCTTTTTTGATCCTGAAAAAGCTGTTAAATGATATAATTTTTAAAGATCCTGACCATAGAAACAGCTGTTCTCATGATCAAAACTATTTTTATACATTCGATCGGTTGTGTGGTAAAATGATTTTGTTGCATCATTGTTGAAACATCAAACTCAATGGTTAATATACAAACTTAGTTTTAATCGTCAAAGTTCAATATATCGCGAATGAAAATAATTACAGTAAACGATTTTTGTTACAAACTATATTTGTACCTAGAAGCATCGAAAAGTTGTAAGAAATACCTATAATCATCCTCTATAAGAAAAATATTGTATTTTTCGTATCTACCCTATAATATGCAATTAGATGTATTACAAATTGAATTCCTAGTTTTTCTTTCATGTATTTCGAAAGTTGCCCCAATTCAGAAATAATGAATTTCCTTGTTTACCTTTGGTTCTTTCACATTTTTGTCAGTACTATTCAAACATGGTGCAATATAAAGTTTTAATGAAAACGTAATATGCTTGCACTGCCTACAGTGAGCAACTCACCATTTACACGTTTGTCAACGAGCAGCTACGTCCATTTTGATTATAAAGATATTGAACATGTCAGTGTCCGAAACAGGCCTGTCAGGACCAGATTACGTTAAATAAGATATTCTGTGGAGAGACTACATTCATGTGGTAAGATTCATTACACTATAAAAACAGGCTTTTATATATCTTAATTATGGGGAAATAATTTGAAAATTTACAAAAAATGGACGTACAATATGATAGTAAGAGAAATTAGAAGTGGTGAAGAGGCAAACATATATGATTTGCAAAACTATTAACTACGTATTATATGAAATAAACGGATGGGTATCTTTCTGCATGTCCATTAACGAAACGTCCGTCCAACTGCCATGAATTTTGGGATTTAAAAAACAATATTTACTTGGGTACTTTATTATATTATTTCAGATTCAAAATCGTTCTATTACCTCTGTTTCTGTGGGTTATTTAATGATTATTAGTTTAATTGTGGGTGTGGAGAATTTATAGTTTTATATAAAAAAAGAGAGAAAGAAACTTGTCAATTAATTTATTTTCATTCCTTTTGTTCATATTTCTTTATTTTATTCATTGTATCAAATTGATCAGCCAATCTGAATCACGAAAATATTTTGTACAAGGAGACGAAACTTTAAAACAAATTACGGGTGGATTACATTTTCTTATATGGCTTTTATGCTAAAGAAGGAGAAAGAAGGAAACTGTGAAATAATGGCTGAGCAGTTGCATAGAACGAAATTGCTTGGTAAATAGCACCAATTTCTGCCATTGTTGGGTTGGTTCGAGTTGTTATACGAATTTAGCACTTGCTTAGCAATAATATCCTTGAACTAACAGTGTCATCTTTTAAAAAATGGGAAATATATTATCATAGAATCATCGTGAATACATCTGATTCATACTGTACCATAAGGCAAATAAAAAAAAAACTTATTTTGCGATGGAAATGACTATAAATGGATAAATAGTTTGTTGTGTTGTTATTTTTAATGGCAAAGCTGTTACCTAATGTTAAACTGTAGTAAACATAATCAATCAACAATGACATTTCGTTAGAATTAGAGGACGCTAACCACTAGGCTAGTAAAACACCTAATTTAGATCTAAATGAATGACAATGAACTAAGGGATTGTTGCCACTCAGGATCGAACCAGAAGTCTTAGAACTTAAAGGCAATCGCACTATATAGTCTACTCAGCCAGTCCTTTTCTACCGTAAATCCATCTATATCTGTATAGAAACTACGATGTCTGGGATATCATAAAACTGAACATTTTAACACTTATAAAATTAATGTTCATCACAAAATTCTTTATAAATTCTCTTTATTTTTTCCCGTGTTATGTTAGCAGTATTTTGCACCTTTGACGGCAGAGGGACGGATATGATCCCCTATATATAAACAAATATATGAGGGATGGAGACCACTGTCGATTGCAATTATTGTTGAATTAAAAAACAATTTATTAGCCTCAAAAAACTTTAACCTATATTACAATGTAAGCAGGAACTAAACTTGAAGATTATAGCTACACAACTGTGAGCACCAAATCATCAAAAGATGTGTAGATGAAATGAAGCCAAATCCAACCCTTAAGTAACTCTCTCAATCGACATAAATAACGTTCTTGAAATAGACATGAGTTATCATTCAACGCAACACAGTAAAATGTAGGTAAAAATATTTGGAGACACGTTGGATTGATTTCCTCGTGAGATGCAAGTGCGGATATTCTGATCACATGTTTGTCACACTTGGCTTGAAGGGGTGAATATCCGCCCCTCCCCCTTCACTTCTCACCCCCCCACCTAACAACCACCTTGTCACACTTCCATACAATACAGACTTGAGGAAATCTCACCTCTCCCTCACTTCATGGAAACTATGACAATTGCATAAAAACTTAGTTTCTTGTGTGCATTCAATAATCATCAACTGCTTATATTACGGCTAGAGCGTGTGGTTTAAGGTTATTTTAATGATGTGCATAAACACTTTCTATTTACAAGATTTTTGAGGATGTAGATTTATTTTGTTATAACACATTAAAGCAACGCCACACTAAAAAAACATTAAAGTCTGAGGACCTTATTACCACTAATTACATTTATAGACCTAATTAAAACTTGTAGATTACAGAATACGCGATATAAAAAGTGATTGATTAATTATGATATTTTTCCTAATAGAACATAACTCTTTAATACATAAACAATGCAAACAGAAAGGTTTGGAACACACCACCCTTAAAACTATCACATAGACAAACCATTGGAAATTGGTAGGATGGACCTTCGCTTACATGTCAGAAGTTCCTTGCTTAAACCAGTATATTTCAAGTTTAAAATGGTTATGTACTGCAGTATTTATCAAAGAATATTAAATTATATTGTCTTAGGAACCTCTTTCAAATTTGCAAGTCTACTTCGGTGACTTTTCGGTAGTTCATGACTATCATAGCATAGGTATACAAAACGTTAATAATAGTTTGTATTTAAAAATATTTATATTGATTATTATAAGAAAATTTTCTAAACCCTGGTCTTGCTGCTATAACGTCAACATTTTATATAGCATCAATAATTGATAAAAAAATTACAAATGGCATCTGGGCCCAGAAATGATTAATTGGAATCGAACCAGTTGTTGTAAAAATAATAGAATAATACAACAAACCAAAGTGATTGTAAGCCCTCTGTAGTTGGGTCTACATGATTCTGGCGAGAGGAAAATTTCACTAATTGCCCACTCAAAAGGTTATTACGGCTGCGTCATCCTGTTTCGAACGTGATAAGTCAAAAATACTGCGTAAAAGCGAATAATAAAAGGGTGAAATAAAAAGCGCATTAGAATTTATAGCCCCCAGTTAAGCTACACTACTCACATGGCTAAGTTAATAATTATAACCGGCTGTGGCTATTATTATTTTACTAGTGTACCTGTAGCTCGAAATCGAACGATTGTCAAGCACCGGTATTTAACAGGAGTTATTTTAAATCTGAAACAGTCATAACATTCGACGACTGTTCGAAATTGAGCTATAATATTCTTATAAATTTTGTATACATTTTCACTTGAGTACTTAAAGGGGTTTCCTTTGTTTGAATGCAATTAAAGATGATGAGCTAGTGTTGTTTCGAGAAATACTTTGGTAATGGTTCATTCCATATTTTGTTGTCACTTATCAGAGGAATTTTAATTTTTCACCATTAAATGGCGAAATTTAAGTTGAAATTATGTTTTTCACATTGATCTCTGGAGATTCTGAGCTATATACAAAGATGAAATCAAACATACTATTATAACAATGTATCTAAATAATTCATCAATTTTAGAAGTATATACACATTTTTAAAGGTTCAAATATTTTTATTCGTGTGTTGCTCACTTATTTATTTTATTTACTTATTGACCAACAACATACAGCAGATTATATATTCAGACAGCATGAACACAACAAAAAAGTTGCCTGCCAATCAATAATGACAAGTACCAAATAAAGACAAAAACAACAACAACAAGAGGCTGGTCAAGTCAGAGGAATTAACTATAGAAACTAACTATATAAATGAATGGAGAAAAAGCAACAAAAATAAATTTGTTCTTCCAAACCATATTTAAATTCACTAAACCAACGTTGTTCTGTTGTATTTATGATTAATTATGAATACTCTTTTGATTCTTATGACTATATCATATTTAATGATTGAATACATGTATCGAGTAAATTAGTAAGTGGGATGGGTATGAGTTCAGGAACCCTTCTCCAACCATCGTCAGAATTAATTTAATTCCACTAGTGCCTTAAGGTGTTGTTTAGAGTATTTTGTTTGTCACTCCCAAACGTCATTCTAATTAACACGATCTATACTCTGAATATAGACAATTAACGTATTCTCGTCATGTTGCAGGTCAGATGCCCCCCAAAGAGGTGGAGCCCGAGTTCCTCGCGCCTCTTGAAAACCTGACAGTCACACAAGGTCGAGAGGTCACATTCACTTGTGTGGTCAATCATCTGGGAGCTTACAAGGTCAGTTGAACAGAAAATAGAATAGAAAAATATAGTCTCTTATAAACATTATGTTTTAAGTACAAGTTATAAATGTCTACAAACATTCTAGAGCCTAAGGTAAAGTATTATTGGGACTTTGTTGTGGACAAGAGCAAATTTGGTGTTTTTGCAAGATCAAATGGTAGGTATTGTAGATAAATACATTAAAAGTAAAAAATTAGTTTTTTCCCCGAAAGAGTCGTAATTAAGTTTCAAGGTGTGATTCTAGTTGGGATTACTTATTCAATTATTTCTAGACTTGTACAAATTTTAAGCAAACCTAAAGCTTATATACAATGCATATTCTTTGAGGTTGCGAAAACACCACGTTGAGTCTTCCAAACCGTGTAGGGAACAGTGCATCAATGCCTATCATCCTATTGACAATGAAGTAAAGAAAATGGATACCAAAGTATGAGCTAGTTTTGTCATTAAGTAGTTGTTGTCTATGGGCACTTTTAGTTTGGGTTGCGTTTATAACCAACCCTGTATAGAAAGTTTATACACATATTATATAAATTCTTCAGTCATTCTCTATAGACATATTCAAGCTGTAAAAACCTATCTGAATCTTAGCCACTTTTGCAAAACCGATTGTGTATACAAGTAGTTTTCCCAATTCATTCCCAATAGTTAGTTGTCTCAGAGTCAGTTTATTATCTTCAATAACATAGTGGACTATTTTAGTTGTTTGATTGCAACTAAATACAGTAGTAGTTAGCGATGGCTACTAAATATTCACCCTTCGACTTACCTATGTTGAAAGGTGCAAAAAGACTGTATATGGTAAAATAATAAAAAGTGAAAAGCTCTTATGGAATTAAAATAGTTAGTGACAAATATTATTAAAAAATAGTTATGCTTGCCAATTGGTTAAAGAAACTCTGCTGTGAAAGATTATTTAGTTACTACGACAAAGGCCTCTATATTTCCTTCAAAGGTCTTTGATTCGGTTTATTTCACCAATTGTTTCTTCAAAACTAATTCTACTGACTTTCTTTCTTTTAAAAATTTTCCCTCTATTTTTAGATACTGGCAATAAAAGAACTCATAAAGCTATAAAAATTGAATAACTCCGTTGACTAACTGAGTTTATCTTTGTTTAAAATTTCAAACAGCAACAGCATTTTTTCAAACATAATTATTTAAAAGTCATTCTCTATATTGGAGAAAATGCAGACTACCTATTTAGATAACCATTGTTCTTAGTTTCAACGTTTTAATAAACATTTTTAGTCGCAAGTTAGTCTATTCTAATAAATAATGGAATTTATTTCTGAAGAAATAAATTTTTTAAAGATTCTAAATACATTCTAGATTTCATACAGGATATAACATAGAACAACAATTATTTCGTTGTCTTTTTCTACATTAGTAAAATGTCTTCCAAAAAAGAGCTACTCAAAGAGTATTTCTTGAAAACACACAAAGCCCCAACTGAAAACCAGATCCATGCCAAGTGGCCTTTTGCAAATTTTAAAACTTCACGTTTGTGTATTTGAAATGTAAATAGAAAAAATAGAGGTAAAAATCAATAATACTGTTCTCACGGAACCTATAAAAAGGTATAATTTATAATCATCCAAACATAACAAAACTAATTGAGATTAGTCATCGAGTACACTTATTATTATGTAATGGTTAAACTATAAACATTACAGTTGACAAATGAAAATTGGTAGTGCAAAAAGTTAAAGAATCTTTGATTACAGGATTCAATTATGAACAAAACTGACCCAAATAAAATTTTACAGAATTTTTATCTCTATATAAACACGTATGTATCAAGAATATGGGACATATAAGCTCCATGTGAACCAACAGCTGAATATAAAGAGAATGTTTATTTTCTTTACGATTGAATAACCCTCAATTGAGTTTAGATTCGAAGGAACTTGACAGGAATACATAACACTCCAGCGTTGGATCATATGGCTTAAATTCAATTGTTGATGAGACATGTGCATTATAGTACAATATAGGTTAGCTTCTAGTTATCACATACATGATTTGATTATTTTATTGGTCATATGAGTTGTTTTATGTTATAAGTAATTACTTAGCGTAAGTACTTTCTTAGCGTGAATTTCCACATTTTCTTAATATAATGTAGATTTTTTTGTACTTACCTACGTACCTATGTATTCAGTAGAGTGGGTGACTTATATTCATAATTTGTTTACACGTTATTTTCCAAAATACAAGGAATTTATACTATCTCTCTCATGTACTTAATTGGTTTTAATTGTTTTTTTTACAACAGTTAATAATGTAGCTATAACCTAAACTAACAAAGCCAATTGGATAAAACCAAACAGAAAAACTAAACCCAGGAAAATAGTGGTTAGAGCTTGTAAAAAGTAAGCTGTATTAGCTTTGTTACAATAGGAAAAATTATCAACTTTTAATGTTTTAGGTTGCATGGATAAAGTCAGACTCGAAGGCTATCCTCGCTATCCACACTCATCTGGTGGCTCATAACACGAGGCTGTCTGTGACTCATAATGGTCATAACACGTGGAAACTGACAGTGAACAACGTGCAGAAGAACGACTCTGGAACTTACATGTGTCAGATCAACACGGACCCCATGAGGAGTCAGGTGAGTCATACAATCAGATGGAACTTCCATGTGTCAGATCAACACGGACCCCATGAGGAGCCAGGTGAGTCATACAATCAGATGGAACTTACATGTGTCAGATCAACACGGACCCCATGAGGAGTCAGGTGAGTCATACAATCAGATGGAACTTCCATGTGTCAGATCAACACGGACCCCATGAGGAGCCAGGTGAGTCATACAATCAGATGGAACTTACATGTGTCAGATCAACACGGACCCCATGAGGAGTCAGGTGAGTCATACAATCAGATGGAACTTACATGTGTCAGATCAACACGGACCCCATGAGGAGTCAGGTGAGTCATACAATCAGATGGAACTTACATGTGTCAGATCAACACGGACCCTATGAGGAGCCAGGTGAGTCATACATTCAGATGGAACTTACATGTGTCAGATCAACATGGACCCCATGAGGAGCCAGGTGAGTCATACATTCAGATGGAACTTACATGTGTCAGATCAACACGGACCCTACGAGGAGTCAGGTGAGTCATACAATCAGATGGAACTTACATGTGTCAGATCAACACGGACCCCATGAGGAGTCAGGTGAGTCATACAATCAGATGGAACTTACATGTGTCAGATCAACACGGACCCCATGAGGAGTCAGGTGAGTCATACAATCAGATGGAACTTACATGTGTCAGATCAACATGGACCCCATGAGGAGCCAGGTAAGTCATACATTCAGATGGAACTTACATGTGTCAGATCAACACGGACCCTATGAGGAGTCAGGTGAGTCATACAATCAGATGGATCTTACATGTGTCAGATCAACACGGACCCTATGAGGAGTCAGGTGAGTCATACAATCAGATGGAACTTACATGTGTCAGATCAACATGGACCCCATGAGGAGCCAGGTGAGTCATACAATCAGATGGAACTTACATGTGTCAGATCAACACGGACCCCATGAGGAGTCAGGTGAGTCATACAATCAGATGGAACTTACATGTGTCAGATCAACACGGACCCCATGAGGAGTCAGGTGAGTCATACAATCAGATGGAACTTACATGTGTCAGATCAACATGGACCCCATGAGGAGCCAGGTGAGTCATACATTCAGATGGAACTTACATGTGTCAGATCAACACGGACCCTATGAGGAGTCAGGTGAGTCATACATTCAGATGGATCTTACATGTGTCAGATCAACATGGACCCTATGAGGAGCCAGGTGAGTCATACAATCAGATGGAACTTACATGTGTCAGATCAACATGGACCCCATGAGGAGCCAGGTGAGTCATACATTCAGATGGAACTTACATGTGTCAGATCAACACGGACCCTATGAGGAGTCAGGTGAGTCATACATTCAGATGGAACTTACATGTGTCAGATCAACACGGACCCTATGAGGAGTCAGGTGAGTCATACATTCAGATGGAACTTACATGTTTCAGATCAACACGGACCCTATGAGGAGTCAGGTGAGTCATACAATCAGATGGAACTTACATGTGTCAGATCAACATGGACCCTATGAGGAGCCAGGTGAGTCATACATTCAGATGGAACTTACATGTGTCAGATCAACATGGACCCCATGAGGAGCCAGGTGAGTCATACATTCAGATGGAACTTACATGTGTCAGATCAACACGGACCCTATGAGGAGCCAGGTGAGTCATACATTCAGATGGAACTTACATGTGTCAGATCAACATGGACCCCATGAGGAGCCAGGTGAGTCATACATTCAGATGGAACTTACATGTGTCAGATCAACATGGACCCCATGAGGAGCCAGGTGAGTCATACATTCAGATGGAACTTACATGTGTCAGATCAACATGGACCCTATGAGGAGTCAGATGAGCCATACATTCAGTTGGCCTCCAACAAATCCTAAGGTTCGCTGGTTCAATCTAGAGCGAGATTGATTTTGCAACTAATTGACCTTTTCACTAAATAAGGTTTAAGTTGAGTATGATTTAGACCAGACAGTGGATCATTACCCTTAAACAATACGTTTAATGTTATTGATGTAGACACTGTTAATCAGTTATAAGTCCTATGACAAATTTGTGATTTTTGTTGATAATTTCAATATTTGTAATACTTACTTGTACTACATAAGTAAAACGAGTGGTTTTGATGGCTTGGCATCATTTAAAGTGCTTTGGTAGTTCTAAAGCGAACAAATTCTGTAACCCAAAACATTCTATGTCAGACAATTTAATATGAGAGGTTTGAAATTAGCCCACTGAACTTTGTAAAACAATAAAAATATCTGTTGTGAGTAGTGATCATTTTTTTCCATATTTCATAGAACCTTATCGTAACTGTTAACTTAAGAAGAACCCATATATTTAATCCAACATTTCCAATGTGATAATTTATTAGTCTTTTTTTTATCATTCCGTCTAATTGTTATTCTAAATATGCTAACAGAAAGACTGGTAGTATTTTACTCATAACATTGATATCTTAAACTTAACACTCACCATCACTCAAACCTTTCAATCACCAACAATATAACTCACTGGTAATATCTGGAATCATTTTAGATTTATCTCACACACACGATCATCAGGTACTTTTGAGCGTAACTGATGGCTCCACACATCTGCTGAGTCGAGTATATGTGAGATAGGGACGGCACGCTGAATATCGCTGAGAACCAGGTTATATATGGTGCTGAGGCAGCCTAACACATGACAAGTGACGCCAGAGAGTGCTGCCGCGTCATGAATGCGTTATTGGCTTTATGGGGTCCCATAAAGTTATGGCTTTGAGCTAGAGCTTCATTAAAAAATGCTTAATAACTACATCCTTGAACATTTTTCTAGTGGAAACTATTTACAATTGATTGCTTTATTTTTGTTATTATATCATAATTCAGTAGAATAATTTTTTTCAGGTGGCATCGTGTTATTAGCATATGCCGGAGCAAATTCAATTCATGGTGGTAATGTTTAAGGGTGGAATGTTTATTTGATCTCACTTGATTCATTGCAACGAATCACAGAAAAATTATTAAATGCCATCAACCTTAAAAATATACTTAAGCTAGTGATTAACTTGCAAGATTGTACTTTCATAAAGTATTTTCATTAGGATTGAATTGTTTTATATTATTTTTTATTAATATGTATCCTGAAAGATTTATAATACAACTGACAAACAACTGAAATAGATGCACTCCGTTGGACACATATACTTTATTTGTAACGTTAAAGCCTACTTATCGTTTCAACAACTTGTTAGTAATTGAAAGCTTCAACATTTGTAATAGTTTAATAGATTCAAGTCAATAATCAGACCTTAATAACTAGATTATTATTATTTTTATAATTTGTGTCGTGTTGCGTTAGAGAATCCACAGTTCATAATTTATTTTATCAGTTTGTGTTGTAAGATGGTTGAACAGGAGGGGGAGGTGGAGAATAAAAGAATTCAGAATTTATTTATAAAACCATATTGATAATGCACTTATTTTTCATTAAAAGTGCACTACTTTTTATGGATAGAAAAGAAAGATTTATGGTTAAGTAAATGAGGCCCTTTGCTCCATATACCCCTCCTTTTCTTCCTTAGCCTCTTTACCTCCTCCATAATTCCTATAATTTCACCACATTCTACTTTTTCAGTTCCTCTCTATCATACAAAAAGGAAAAATTAATAATGAATACTGAATAAACAAAAAGTATCGAACATTATAAATTACCACGACGTGACCCCAACTCAATGAAACTGTCCATGATGGGATATGCTCCGCCGGGAGGCCAATCAACATCTTGGGGTGCTGTCGGTTGAATCGATTTGTCAGACCTTGATGGAGGATGAGATCAACTGGGACTGCTGGTCGCAAACTGGGACTAGTTCTGTTGAAGTGTGACAAGTGTTCCCAGGCTAGTGTCCGAATAGTAGAGGAGGTTTCTAGTGGGTAGTTTCTGAGCCTTAAGCCCTTTGGAGTCCCAGACTACAGACTAACGTCACCTGTGTGCATAAATGAATTTCCCCACCTCTCTCAAAAAAAAAAAAAAAAAAAAAAACACACACACACAACCTAACTACATCAATCTGTTCTAAGATGGGGTACCTGGAGGTCGTGATTCCTCCTGATATTCTCAACGAGGACGGCCCAGACGACTATGTAGCGGTAGAAGGAGGATCAGTCAAGGTCAAGTGTAAAGCTACTGGAGTTCCGGACCCAACTGTGCTGTGGAGGAGGGAAGACTCCCAACCCATCGTGCTGCGGGCGGACAGTACCAGGGAGAAGCAAGGTAGGGTGGGAGAGGAAAGAGGAGGGTGTATGTGCATAGTCAGTAAACTCAACTCATTTATTCCTGGACACAAAGACATTCTGTAATTTATTCAGGAAAAATAGAACACTTAATTAAAGAGGTAAGTTAACTACGTTCCAAACCAGTATGTTAACTAGATGCAGTCAGGTTTTAGTAGAAGTTATTGATTATTAATTGATGCAAAGTCCAACCATCAACTGATAAATAAGTGAAAATGAATTAATCAGATAATTCATGTCACGACTCATCTGGACTAGAGCACATTTTTCATATTATTTGTCAAACTATAACGTAATTTACTGTAGATATGAACCAAATTGTTAACGTTATAAAGGTGTATAAATATATATTTAAGAACGTTAAACTAATGAAAAATTCTATGATGAATTCTTTATTTTTCAAGGTAAAGTTAGGGCCACAGGGACACTTCCAACAACTACCTGACAAATAAAAATTTAAAGATATTGTGTTTTATAATTTATAATGCTTAACAATAAAATATACAGTTCCTATTTACATTGATATATTTTAATTAGGTATATTTATAAACAGTTACAAATATCTTTGATTAATTCTAATTGACCATTAATTACGGTACTCATATTTAAATGAAATAGAAACTAGCTGCACAAAGAAATCAAATCATTTTCAGTGATTTTAAGTTATTAACTTGTTCAACTGCTAATACATAAACAACAAAAAATCTTTGCATTCCCTTAAATAAAATTTTAGCATATTTTTGTGTTGTTGTTTGCAATTTATACATTTGTCAAATAAGTAGACGATGCAATGTTTTACAACACTAACTCTTTAAACAAAATGTCTTTTAGAAGTTTAAAACTGTAATCAGTGTTAAAAGAAGTGAAGCAGGGGCTGAAACAGTAAAACAATAATGTTTGAAATCTGATTGGGGTTTTACAAGATATATTTAGTTGTTAAATTTAGTAAAATGTTAAGTAAAGTAAAAAGTATGTATAGGGACACTAAGTAAGTATAGTCTAGTTATTATAGCTATGAACCTCTGTCCTAGATGCTTCGGTTTGATTCTAGACAATCATCAGTTAAATATTTATATTAGTACTGCAACTTGTTTAGAACTCACCTTGAAATCTATGTTAACCTATTCATAAAACAATATGACTCTCAGACTTGAATGACTTTCTCCTTATCAGTAAACCTCATCATGGACCTCCTGTAGTAAAAACCATACAATTTTACACGTGTATATATATCAGCTGGACCTTATATCTTCTTTAGATGAAATGGTAAGTTATATCGAGTAATAAAACATATTGCCATCTTCAATACGTTGTTGCAGTTGTCAGGCAGTTTGACGGGGAAGAGTTGTTATTAACCAATGTACATCGGGCTGATATGGGAGCTTACCTGTGTATCGCCAGCAACGGAGTGCCTCCTTCCGTCAGCAAACGGTTTATAGTCCAAGTTCTCTGTGAGTACAGTCATTCTTGTCATTCTGTTAGCTTTTTCCATGGTATCTAATAATAAATACCCCTGCCACAGCAAACCTGCAGATTAAGCTAAACATTAGGTCACTAAGCTAAAAACAAGGTTCGCTGCTACGGGGAAGGTAGTTGTGTTTTTTACTAAAATATTAATAGCCTAGTAGAAAACGAATACATTTGCCGTGTTAAAAAAATATATACATAAACAAGCAAACTATAAGAGTTTACTTCTTCTCCTTAAAAATAACATAGTGAATTTTAAATTTAATTTATTTTTATTTTATCCGTAATCAAAGACTGTGCAAAACCAATTTAATAGACCACATTATTTGTTATCACAAGCTCTAAAAAATTGTTTGGAAATGAATTAAACGTTTATTTTATGTTTTTAAGATTTCCCATAGTCCGATCATGCTGGTTCGCGAATACGTTAAAATAAACGTAGGATTACACGTTTGTGCCAAATGTAATCAGAATCTGAGGATTTTTGCTTGGGTTATCGTGCTAATAGTCACATATATATATATATTGTTACAAGTCAGGAGCCCCGCGCAACAATAGCCAGGCGCCGTCACAAAAGGGTTGTTTGTTTACACGGGTTTCTCAGAACGCACCACTGATAGACAATAGACCTATGTCAACGGACTATCTCAATAGAGGCTCCAGAACCTTCTACACTTCTACGCCGGTTTGTAAACAACGGATATTCGAACTCTCCACTCTGGAATGTTCTACGGCAAGGTTATATAAGGGACCGTCTTCCGGCACACGGCAGTTGAGTTGAGTTGAGCCTTCCGAGAATCGTCGCAGCAAGTGCCCGTCGGTGTTAGTGACCAGTGCTAGTACTAGTGGCAGTGACAGTTTAGTGACAGTAAGAGTAACAGTAACAGTGTAGTGTCTCTAGTGACAGTGTAGTGACGGTGTTGTAACAGAATTGATAAATTCTGTAGAGGCTAGCTGTAAGTAGAAACATTGTAAATTTAGAATAGGCTTTAGCTAGGTTTAGATAGGGTTAGTTAGGTGTTAGGTAATTCTAAAATCTGTAAATATATAATAATTAGTGTAAATAAATAGGTATTATAAAATCGCCAAGTTTTATTTGTAAAGAACCTGCTAAGCCCGCAACAATATATATGTGAACAAGGTTGGCAACTATGTTGGTGACGTAACATTGATGATATGTATACATAAATAAATATTGATATATTTATATGAATTTGAATGGATGGTATTTTTGGCCTCTGGGGACATCAAAACAAAAAAGTAAAGCGGCCCCTGGTCCAGATTTTACCTTTAGACCCACGGCAATAGCTCATTCCGTATATTGGAAATTCGTTAATAGATAATAAATAGGGCTCACCTTAACGGTCGTTTGCCAAGTTTTGTTATTTAATTTTAAATTTAAGGTTCAGATTTAAAAAAGCATTATGTTATTCCCCTTGCACGGAATTGCCTTAAAACTTGTAATAAAAGTTAAAACAATTTGTTGAGGTTATGTCATACTATATCCTTAACAAATTCGACTGCAGTACATTCAAACGTCTAGTTTTTGGCATACTTGTCTTGTGAAATAGTAAACGTTGTAAACGTGTATTGCTGGAAAAAACCTTTATAGCACAGTAATTTTAAAATTTTATTTTATTGGAAAATATGTATTTATATGTAGTACTTAGTTAGTTGTAAGCTGCTTTTTAGATTGGATCATATGCAAACCAACATTGTTCATGTTACTTATGAAATAAATGTATACTTAAGTGGTGCATTCCGACCTCTAACTTATGTTAATATATTTCAGTTCCACCTATGACCAAAGTCTCAAACCAATTGGTTGCAGCGCCAGCTGGTAGTGATGTGGTCCTTGAGTGCTACGTCGAGACCTCGCCTAAAGCGATGCACAGCTGGTTCAAAGAGACTGGTAAATTAAATAGTAATCTATAAACTGAAAACTTTAGACAATCTTATGCATTCTTTACTCCAATTATTAAATATTTCGTTGCAGAAAATCGTTATTGACAGAGGGTTCATACTTTTCAGCGAATAGGTGTTATACAAATGAATGTATTTTATTGTACAAAGATAAAAATTCATTCCTATATTGACTTACTGTTTTCCTTTACCCGCAAGGCTCATTTACCCGTACGTTAGATACATTATGTAACACAACACTAAACTTGTCTTACCATTATTTTGATTTTGTCAAGTGTAAAGTTGTGGGAATAAATAATTTTTAGTATATCCAGAGTTAATGGCACCAATTGATTATGTTATATTAAGAACTGAACTTACGTTTTGTTTACATCATAGGTGAGAAGCTAATGCCAAGCGCCAAATATTCCATGGAAGAATATCCGATCAATGACTACTCTTTGCTGATGAACATAACGATTCGATCATTAGAAAAGAGGGACTTTGGTGGATATGTTTGCTCATCAGTTAGTGCTATGGGGAAATCAGAAGGCCTGATAAGGCTCCAAGGTAAGGTCTCCAATCTACTAAGGATTAATTAACTCAACGGTATTTATCCCAAATTCTTACTTGTCTTTAATATATTTACAAAATTAACTTAATACAATAGTAAACAATACCAAGTATCATCAATTAATATCTTGCTCCACTTGGTCTTCTTACAAAGTTTGTTATGAAATATAATGACAGTGATATATGTGTTTTTAACATAATGCATAAAAATCCTGTCTACATGCCAACTACTCAGTAGGATTAGTGTAGAATAAATGCTACACAGCTAACCGATCTGATCATAAATCAAAGAAATTTTATTGGACTGAAGCCACAAGTAAAATAGAAAACTGGTGAATGATGAGCATACACCTCGCTAGTAAATATTTACATTCTAGTTGATTGAGCTTATTATAAATCTCCAGAAGCACTTACCACACTTCTTACTTTTTTATCCTTACAAACAAATTGGATTTATATTTTTTAAATCACAATGAATTCCTCGTAATATACAATCCTATTCACAGAGTTAAACATTCCAAAGACTACAGTCATGCCCAGTCCCAACTACTACGAGCCGGTGAAACCAGCTCGGAAAAAGCCTCATAAGACCCATGTGAAGGAGAAACACCAGGGGTCTCGCAAGAAGAACCACAATCATCACGAGGAGGTAGAGGAGGAACCTAGAACCACAGCCGAGGTGAGGACGGAGTCTTCTCTGGTGTCTCATCCAAGCAGACCGCCTTCCTGGATACTGCATCACAACGAGGTTGGCCCCAGTTCGGGCGCCAAACGAAATGTAGGAGTCAGTGTCGCTGTATTGACGTACAGTGTCACTCTGTATTGCCAATGGTTATTGCATATGTAGATACAGTTGGTTTTGTCAATCATTGTTTTGACAATGTATAGCTGGGCCACTCTAACGACACCAGATCCAATTTTAATTTTGTTTAGACATATCAATATGACCCATCAACACAATAGTGTCTCAAATATAAAAAACATTATTGTGTAGGGATTAAAAATCAAACATACTACGGAAAAAACAGTTTACCAAAATATACGTAATTTAACATATACGGACATGATAACATATTTAAATAATAAAGGCATATATTTGGTAAAACTGGAACACGTATTCACACAAAAGAACTTATGTTTTACGACAAATGCATCGTCAAAAGAGATCGCTAATATGAGCTATACAATGTTGTATACGTGAAACATAACGAAAATACTGTCGAATTTTATCAAACCGATAGCGGAAAACAAGCCCTCAGATATACCATGATGTAAATGCAACGATAGTGTTAAACTTAGATAAATTATAGATGCAAAGTTGGATTTGGTGTTACAAAACTTGGCTTCACTTTGCTTTAGGCGTCTTCCAGCACAGAATAAGCTTTGTATAAGACTCAAAGTCTTACAATACGTACGCTTTATTTTTTGATAGGTTTATAGGAGGTAAAAGTTATACTTTGTAATCTTAAGTTGATTAAGACTTTTGTAAGCTAAGATGTTCTTAGGATGTTATGATTTAGATAGTTTGATTAGAAGATTTGCAAAAAAATGATTATTGATTCTGCTTTCTCTTTGTTAAAAGAATATTTTTCGTACCGATTCCATTAATGGGAACTTTCTATCGATCTGTTTAAAAATATTTATTTTTGGAACAGTTGAAGAAAATATTAGAGTTCAAGATAAAACTTGATTCATACTACATTATTTAACTTAATGATAAAAAAATACATCAATACTCACTTAAAATTGATTTTCTTGACAATAATTCATAATTCATAGTTCAAATATTTTGTTTAAAGCATTATTAGATGTATTTTAAAAGGATAAGTGTACTGTAAGTTTCAAATTTTACTATCGCTGCACAGTATATTGACTATGTTTTAAATATATTCAATGTACATAGCTTAGTAGTGTAAAATATTTCAAGATAAGTTACCGTAGTACTCATCTGTTATATATAAATGAGCTTTGTTGTGTACATAAAATGTTTGTAATATAATAAGCGTAAAGTAATTGATTACTAAAATATATTAAATAAATAACTAAATACATTAAATGTTGGAATATGTATTTATTACGGAACTTAAAACAGGAGGTCTGATCACCCCTATTATGTGTGTATCGTCTGTCTAATAGCTTGACTTTATTTTAATACAATTTTGTATTTTTCAAATAGTATATACTTAGGAAATGAATTGATTTAAATTATAGAATAAAACTCAAGTGTTTAGCTGTTTTGTTTCGAAATCTATACACTTTCAACAAAAGATATTACAAAGAGAAATATCACTTCCCAAGGTTATATTTAGTCTTGTTACACTATCAAACTATTACAGGGTAAGAACTTGTAAATACGTAAACTGTTGTACTAAACCAACTTAGGTGATGTAATAATGTATATTGTATATTGATGTAGTTTAATTATAAAACTGAGGTATTTACTTTAACTGTTATCAGCCAATTCAATAGTAGCTTTCGAAAATTCAGAAACTTGAAAACACGTTTGGTGTTTCCTTTGCATTACAAAATGAAGCATTCAATTTGTTTAGATCTTACAAAATAGATGTAAAATACTTTTTAAATATTTCTGTCTTTTGTTGCCCATTAAAATGCCATTTGAATGATAAGGAATATCATTATGGTGCTGAAGGGAAGGCTGCCAAGGCGTTGATGCAGATATAAAACTGATGAGCATCGTTGCATATTAGAAGTCCTTCTCGTTCAGTCTCTACCCTATATTTACCATACTCCATATACAATGTCTGTTACATTTTATGCTTCCTGTATCAACAGGGTGTACAAACAAAATTGTTAAAAACAATAATTTCATTTAAGTCATTTGAAGTGTAAAAAATTTGCATTAACAAGTAATCTGATTTCATGCTACATTTTCAAATTTTGAATTGATGTTTTCAGAAGGGACAGTACCTGAAACTCAAAAAATAACACATACATAAATTTCAACTGTTGGTTCATCTTTTTCCTCCAGTATTTTTGTTAGTACACAAGCGCGTTCAAATAAAATATGGCATTTTCTGTTAATGGTATTTCCTACAGTTTCATTTCTCACATTTTATTTGTTTTTGTTTATTTGCGTCCTCTTAGAAGTGTTTTTACTTAACATGTGACATTGATCATGTGTTTTCAGCTACATCAGGGTCGTTTTCACTATTATCATGCTTGAAGCGCTTTTTAAAATGGATTGAGTGAACGACTTTAGATCCCAAAATGTTGTAACTCAACGCATTTATGCGATCTGAAACTTTTCAGTATGGTAACTTACCCCGATCAAGTCCTGGCCCAAACAGCACCGTACAGTATTTTTCTTCTTGGTATTTGTCACCAAAACGTTTTTAAAGTCCTTGATTATTATTGCTGATGCTTTCAAATGAAGCAAGAACAAATTTAATAAGTGGCCTGAGGATGATTCGTATATGAGTCGAAACTACTTGCCATAAAACATAGTTTCAGATGGCATAGATATTGCTACTTACACCAATTTATAGTTTGAAATTCGATTAGAAGGGTACAATTCAATAAAATGAATTTTGTGTACAATATTATCGCAACGATTTCTTGAAAATTTAGCACATTTTAATCCTCACTATCTCTCAACTAGAACAGTCATTATGTAAATTTTGTATATTATACAATTCTATTTTGTTGTAAAAATATATAGAATAACGTGCTAACATGGCATTTTTTTGGCCATAGGTGACAACAATTTCGAGAATTAAGTCCTAATTTGGGTGTCACACCTATTTCAACATCAAGTCATAGGTAAAGCCCCTACAAAACCCAGTTTTCCTAAAGTGTATACGTGTAACACAAAACGTTTAGATAATCAAAAATGTTTCAAACAAAAGTTATTATATAAGGAAATAAGGAAATACAAAAAATAAAACTACCTAGGGTTGAGGACGGCACGATTGTAAAGACTATTAAAAAAAATGTACCGTTTATTTGTTATATAATATGATATGCCACGTTGCTAGAGCTGTCAGTATATAATAACAATTTTAAGACTAATTAGGTACGGTATGCAAATGGTAAATTATCATTATAAATGTACAGTGTCAATCGTAAATATAAAAATAATGTAATATTTAAATAAAAAGTTGTCTATATCTATAAAAACATCTCGAGTCACTGTCTTCCAAGATATGTTATGAATTTATTTAATCAAACCTACACATAATTAGCTCACACGTTCATTCAACAGAAATATAAACCTTTGGAAAATTATCTATGTATGTATGAAATATTGTAGTGAATAATATATTTTTTGTAGACGATATTCATATCATAACATATGGAATGTATTACTGATAATGTTTATATTTTTTTACTAATATCAAAATACAAAGAACATATTTTTTCTTTACAGTTGTAACATTTATTTTGGTTGTAATATTTACAAGCTTTGTTTTATATACTACAGTAGTTTTATGGTTAAGTAAAATAGTAAGTGGAAGAGTCCTGAGTGCTATACATATAGTCACTAACAGTTGGAAAACGAAACAACCAAATCAAAGTTTTATACGACAGTGAATTTTGACACTCTTTAATATATATTTTTTGCCAAGTTATTTTAAATAATTTGTATTTATTTTTATGCTTTAGTACTATACATTTTACCAACTCAGTTTAAATACATCGCACACTGTTTATCGTCTTTAACCATCATAGTATGCCCCTGTTTAGGTAATTATTTCAAATTACATAGTTTATTTCCATGAAAATTACCCATACTAAAGAATTACAAAGTATAAGGGGCAAAACATGTTTACTAATGTTATGCCACAATCATCTTTCAAGAATAATTTATAATAAAAAAAACATATTTTTAAGTCAGGGAAACAGTTGAGGAGTTTATTTCACTTGAGTTGAATCCAAAGATTTTCGGTTGCAGCATTATCATTTTGTTTCGCAAGAAAGTAAATTATATAGATTATTTTATTAGACAGTGCACCGTCAATACACGGATGATCTATGGTATAAGATTATAGTATTGATTAGTAAGAAATTTTAGTAAATGAATTTTGCTCAACAGATCCATATCTAAACGAATTAGATAAGATAGCAGGTATAATTTTGTAGCAGGTTATTTTGTGTAAATGCTGATTTGTTTAGTAACCATGTAAATATAATGAGGTGAACACACGATGTTATTTGCACTTTTGCAATCAACGCCTCTGTTAGAGAGTTACGGTGTATTTAGTAGCAGTTCCTAAGGAAATATTGACAATACAGTTCGTTTATTATAATAACAGTATGTATCATATTTAAAAGAATTCAAAATGTTTATATTAAGTAAATAGTTGTTTTGTAAAAATAATCGATGGGAAATGGTTGGTTATAAATAAAAACCGCAATATCTTTACACATGTTTTATTTTCCTTAGTCCTTCACCTTTTGATCACGACTGGAAAACAGATAATGACCAATAGTAATATACTGTATAGTAAATATATATTTTATATTAAATAATTCCTCTGCCGGTGTCTCATTTCTAGCGTCTTTCAGTACGAAGTCACTCATCCAGCCAGCAATCTTTGAATTTCGTATTTTGTAGGGAATTTAAAATTCTTTGTTAAAAGGTGCAAGTTAAACTCACCCTGCTCATCCAAGCTGGGCTTTCCCCACAGCACAACAGCTTAAAACAACTCATTTATGGTTTCATTATGCCGTCTATGGAACCCTTTACATTATGCCATTAAATCCATGGAAAACTGAGCCCGACTGACGACGGGCGCTGAAGAATATTACCTTATCCGGGAAGTGGTGGCATGGCGGGATGGTGTGCTCTAAGGAAGTAGGCCTATGTGTGTGACTGTATGATAGTGAACCTGATAATATGTGTGTCTTGTAATTTTCTTATTTATTATTTTACAAACTTAATTACTTTTGTGTTGTCACATCATTATTATATTACGTAACTGTGAGAAAGAATCTCAGTTCACCTCAATACAGAAACATATTTCATTACATTCATGACTAACTACAAAATATTTGGAACAAAACAATTTTAGGAAAAAATTGCATAGTTAGTATCACAATGAATTCATTTTTATTAAGGGTTTCATTTCATTTGAAATTTTCACTGAGGGTGGTAAATAAAATTAATATTTCGAAAAGACTGATGAAAATCCAAGTGGGGTTTCTACTTTCATGGTAAGTCCAATACTTTTCAATTTCGCTGAAATTTCATACAAAATTTAATGTTGGATATGGTTTTTACCTATTTCACGCATCTGAATAATTAAAAGGTCCAATTTATCGAATTTACATAGCACGAAAAGAAAAGAAGTTAAGAAAATAGAAGTGAATTATCGTCATATTCAATCTTTCATTGGTTTTTATAAAGGTTTGTGTACTTGTTCAGTTGTCAGTCATGATATTGTCGTTTCTTTATGCAACCTCTTCTTAGCTGCAATATTCAGTCGGATAAACCTTTAGTGCATAAATGTTTATTATTCACAGATAATAAACAAAAAAAT